CATTGAGATGCAATCCATACTGAAGGCTGTGCTCTTTGATCTTCATCAGTAAATATTTTAAGTCTTCTTCACGTTCAGCAAGCAAGGCTGTATCATCTACATATCACAGGTTGTTAATGAGTCTTCCTCCAATCCTGATGCCACGTTTTTCTTCCTATAAGCCAGCTTCTTGAATAAGTATGGTGAAAGAATACAACCCTGTTGCACACCTTTTTTAATTTTAAACCATTCAGTATTTCCATGCTCTGTTCAAACAACTGCCTCGTGGGCCAGGTACAGAGTCATCATGAGCACAATTAAGTGTTCAGGAATACTCATACTTTGCAATGTTGTCCATAGTTTGTTATGATCCACACAATCGAAAGCCTTTGCTTAGCCAATAAAGCACAAGTAAACATCTTTCTGATATTCTCTGTTATCAGCCAAGATCCATCAGACATCACTCATTCCACCTCTGGAAGTTCTCTGTCAATGTATACTTGCAGTCATTTCTGTATAACTTTTAGTAAAATTTTACTTGCATGGGGTATCAAAGATACTGTCAGATAATTTCTGAATACCACTGGGGCACACCTTTCTTAATTTTAAACCTTTCAGTGTCCACATGTTCTGTTCAAACAATTGCTTCTTGGTCCAGGTACAGATTCCTCATGAGTACAATTAAGTGTTCTGGGATACTCATACTTCGTAATGTTGTCCACAGCCTGTCATGATCTACACAATCAAAAGCCTTTGTGTAGTCAATGAAGCACAGGTAAATATCTTTCTGGTATTCTCTGTTATCAGCCAAGATCCATCAGGCATCAACAATTATATCACTCGTTCCACGGCCTCTTCTGAATCCAGCTTGAACTTCTGGATGTTCTCTGTCAATGTGCACTTGCAGCCATTTCTGCATTACCTTTAGTAAAACTTTACTCACATGGGGTATCAAAGATGTGGTCTGATGCTTTCTGCATTCCACTGGGTCTCCTCTCTTTGAAATGGGCACAAATACGGATCTCTTCCAATCAGTCGGCCAGATAGTTGTCTTCCAAATGTCTTGGCAGAGATAAGTGAGTGCCTCCTGTGCTGCCTTACTTTCTTGAATGATTTCAATTTTTATTCCATCAATTCCTGGTGCCTTGTTCTTTGCCAATTTCTTCAATGCACCTTGGACTTCCTCCTTCAGTATCATTGGCTCTTGATCATATGCTACCTCTTGAAATGGTTGAACATTAACCATTTCCTTTTGGTACAGTGACTCTGTGTATTCCTTCCATCTTCTCTTGATGCTTTCTGCATCATTCAATAATTTGCCCAGAGAACCTTTCAATAACGAAAGTTGAGGCTTGAATTTTTTCTTCACTTGCCTCAGCTTGAGAAATGCTGAGCATGTTCTTCCTTTTTGGTTTTCTGATTCCAGATCTTTGCACATTTTGTTGTAATATTTGGATTTATCTTCTTGAGCTTGTAATACTGAAGCTAAAATACTTTCCTAATTCAACAATGAGAGTAAGTCATGTCACTAGGAAAGTCCCCAATGGAATCACTGTGAAGTGGAGCCATTTAATGTGTACACACTTGCCTTTTCAAACGCCACTGTCTCTATCATTGTTCTGCTTGTGTTTTCATTTTTCATCCTCTTTTCTGTCCCTCAACTCCAAAACTCCCACATAAATTTATCTGTACCACTGAGGGATTCAATCCAAGCAAACATCATTTTCCTAATAAAGATTATCAGAGAGAGACTAGTACTATCACTGGGAATTGATGGAATACAAATTGAAATCTTTCAGCAAACTCATGCAGCACTGGAGGCACTCGCTTATCTATGCCAAGAAATCTGGAAGGCAGTTACCTCTACCGCACTTAACAACAACAACTTACTTTTGCTGCACACTGACTTATGAATGTGGCAGGTATACAGGGGATAAAATGATGAAAACTTCTTGGAGTTTAGCACACACCTTGAGTTAATGAGTTTCTGGGCCTAGGGGCTTTGAACCATAGTCTCAGAGAACACCATGGAAAAGTAGCATAACATAGCCCACAAACAGAAGGTTCTACATCCTACTCTGGTGAGTAGTGACTGGGATCTTAAAAGCTCATTTGCATCGGTCTAAGGTACAGCTGTCTGTGTCTCCATGTGCGGAAGAAAGAAGAGTAGTGAAAACTGAAGATGCCTGGAAAGAGTCCAGTGGATGAATGGAACATGTGAACATCAGTCTCCACAACTCCGAGGTCAGAAGAACTAATTGGTGCCAGGTTACCACTACCAATTGCTCTGAAAGGAATTGCATCACAAGGTGCTGAATTGTTGTTTTTAAGTGTCAGGAAGTTGGTTACAACACATAGAGCAAGTTTCAGAGCCTCCTGTGACATTAATTTTGGTCTTTTCCTTCTTTGTTGTATCTTAATGACCTTTTGCTTTCTTCCCACAAGTCTTCTGGTCTTTGGTCATTAGTGTCTAATGCTTCAAACCGGTTCTTGAGCTATCTCTCAATTCAGGTGGGATATGTTCATATTTTGGCTCTCATGGACTTGTTTTCATTTTCTTCAACTTCAGCTTGAACTGGCATATGCACAATCGCTATGAGGTTCTACAGTCTGCCCCTAGCCTGGTTTTGGCTGATGATACAAAGCTTTTCCACCGTCTCTTTCCACAGATGTAGTCAATTTGATTTCTGTGTATTCCATCTGGTGAGGTCCATTTGTATAATCGTCTTATGTT